AACGCTGCAAGAAAATAAATTTTTGTATTAATATATGTAGAAAGATTCAAAACCTATGTGATTAGGACTTCTAAGTTAAAAATTCTACTGTAATGTTTACTTTGATTTCTGTGATTCTATTGGAAAGGCATAGAGTAATATGCAATGGATTAAAGATAACTGTTGGGAATGTTATTTTTATACGAAAATATATGTATATTTAAATTTTATTCGAAAGTATCTATAGATGTTTGACCATATTGATTCCTACAACTTTCAATTATATACTTTCGTTGATATTTTATATGTTGCATTGAATGGATCTTTTAATTACTTGTATTTAAAATTATCACTTGGAAAAAAATATATTCATGAACATTCTTTCCATTTCGTTGAGTTCTCATCAATGTCCAAATGGATAAAAATCGCTAAACACTAGGAGTTGGTTGTGTGTTCGCCCCTTACCAAGGTGCTAACCACGTGGAGTTTTCTGAGTGTTCTTCATGTGTGTAACACGTAAATTGAGGTCAATTCCCCTTAGAAAGTTCTCCCAAGAACCATCTCCCTTGGCAGATCGCCATGTGTTGCGTTGCCTTATTATATCAATACAATCCACTTTATTTAGTTGAATTTACTTTCAATTAACTGAACTGCAACGAAGTTTATGTAAAGAGTGTAATGAATTAAATTATAAATTTCTGTTTCATTTGAATAAATCAAATAAAGTTAAAAGAATCGAAATTTACGTTTTTCTTCGTTAAACGTTATTGTTTGTAACGAAACTCCATAGCAATAGAGTACAGTAGTTATAATAGTGAAAAATTAAAAAACAATTTGTTTTGATTTATAAGAATGAAATATATCAATAATTTATAGAATTAAGTAATTTTATAAAATAATAAACTGTAANAGTCACGAACATTTTAAAACGAAATTTTAGGAAATTTATTTTTTAATATTAAAATACAAGTGAATTCCTTTTTAAACTAATAAAATCATTGTTTTAAAGGTGTTCTTGGAATTGCAACTTAGTCTTATTTCATCGTCTGAACAAATATTGACGTTTCAATCGAATGAATTTTGACAAAACTGCTAGTAATACCTCTAATAAAATTCATCGACACGATCTAATTTTAGTTTCAGAAATATAGCCATTTCAAACAGATCGTTTAACAGGCTTTAATTCTCGTTATAACAATCATAAACAGATCATTATGTGCACTTCATTTTCAGTAACTGAGGGGTTCTGCTTCACTTATCAATAGGCATTTCTCTATTTTATTTGATAATTAACAGTTAATATTTAGAGAGTTAATTGCAAAATTATTCTAATTAATTTATTTCACAATTATAAAAAAAATTAATGAATTTTTTCATATATTTTAATGAAAAAAATGAAATTTATATATATATATATATATATATACCATTTTTGTTATATATTTTTCAGTTCCTTTTCATCTATAGATTTTTGTAAAAACTTCTGTTATTTGATCTGGATACTCAGAGGCATCTTATTTCTTTTTTTTTTCCTTACAAAATAGTAAAACGCATTATATAAAATTTATTTAATTTTTGAGTATGTATTACAATAATTAGATTTCTACATTTTCTAGTAACATAAAAATTTTATTTTATAGTTATCTGGAGCTTATATATAGCATAAACTATTTATATGAATAGTTTATGTCAGTAAGGAGCTTTAGTTGTTGTCTTTCTCTTGATAAGTTATATTAATTATGAAAGAATTTGCTGTCATGTAAGTCTCAGAAACGGATTAGTTTTTTTTTCTTTTGTTTTATTGTTACTTCTTTGACAAAAGAAAAAAGGGGAAAAATACAAGAAAACATATCAAAAGTAAAGAGAATGTCAAATGGAGAAAATAAACATATAAAGTTACTTTCTTATATCCTAGCTGCAGCTTTCCTTTTCTTCTTTTACAAACTTTTATCTTTTAAACTGTTAAGTTTGAAAAACCTCATGAATATTGCTCAGTATTTTTTTCAAACATGGGAGTTTATAAAATAAAAAGTACCAATAAAAGTTGCAAGTTATTATTTTTAGCTTGTTTAATCCATATAAAAATAATATAATTTAGAATTTGACAATGCAAAAAATCAAAGTTTTCCTATTTAAGTAAGTAAGTTTTCACACATACGAATTGTTACTTGAAGTTTTTTCCCCTTAATGATGATCTTTACTATCTATACCTATATATAGATATTTTTTTAAGTATCATTAATTTTGCTTTTATGTAATACATTTTAACTAAAGATATTTAAAACTGTAACGATGAATAAAACAACAAATATTTATTACTTTGGTCGTCATGAAAGTTATTGTCGAATGAGAAAATAAAAAATAATAATCTAGAAAGTAATATATACTGTAGAATGTTATATTTACTCANCATTGCAGAAATTGCTTTTAGCCCTTAGTATAATTAAATTAATTAATTAAAATATCTATAACCATAAGGTAGATAATAGGAAGGGCTTATCACACCAATGACAAAGGGCACAAACGCTCAAAAATCAAAGTAAAAAATTTAATAAAACAGATAGGGTTGTACAATAAGATGATTACATAAGTATAAAAACCATAAAATCCAAAATGCATTTCGGACTATTTTCCAATGGAAAAGTAGTCCCTCATCAGTTGGTAATAGCGACAGGTCTAAGTATACTTAAAATTATACAAGGTGAAAAAATATTAAATTTAAAATTAAACTAAACATATGCCTAAAACTATACAATATAAAGATGAAACCGTCGACATGACTGTACGAGCAGTAAGCATATCAATGTGGACAGGAGTAATGTTTCTTCGTAACGTTGCATGGTAACATGATGAACAGGGTGCAAAAATATGCATTGTAAGTTGTTGTTGAAATTTGATTATTTTATAAACGTTACTTACTTAAATATGAAATAATTATTAAGCGATTTCTCTCATACGAATCAACTAAATCTAATATTTCCTTCTTGTAAAATTCTAAAATATTGGATAATAAGACAACAATTTACAGTGAGATTTTTTAAAATAATCGCATATAAATTCAATCCAAATAACGAAAAATGATACTAATATAATATATATTAAATTATTTCTGTAATTTACAATTATTTTATTATAAAGTTTCTTTTTTATGGCAATGTATTAATCAATAAACAGTGCTCAGGGATTATTTGATTACTGTCTAGAATAATCAATTGTATCATAATACACATAATTTAGGTTTAAATTCATTTTTAAACAAAATATATGAAAATTTTCTCTTTATTTTGGCATTCAACTGTGTCATAGATTTAAAAATTACATTTCTTTCATACTTAAATCTAACCTATATTTCATGGGATATTCAGGATTTTCTGTAAAGCTAAAGTAAATCTACAGCATCTGTTTATCTAAATCTCCTCATAAGGGCATCATTTTATCATTAAAGGATAACTGAAGTGTTCTTTATCTGACTGCAAAGTTAAATTGATGGTCGTATCATCTTTACTGGCTTCGATTCTCTCAATGAGGCTAAAGGGAATAATTCGCTTGACAACCTATAGATGGAGATGTAACATGAGCTGTAGACTCCATTAGTTGGAGTATATCTGGTTACGTGGTTTCCCATTACTGCACATAAACCAAATTGCTGGCAACAAAGGGTGATGATAATAGTTTTATAGTAAAATTGCAGAAAAGTAGACGATAAATATGCAAAAATGCTGAATTGGTTCAAATCACACACCTATTAGGATCCGAAATAAAAATATCTTAAAATTTTACGCTTTATTTTATCATTAATATTATAGTTTTAAAAGAGTTTAAATCGAAGTTCTTGAATATTTTCGAATGTTTTCGAGTGGTATAAAATTTAATTATTTTTATTTTGATTCTTATTTCATAATCCAAATCACATTACTTATAATAAAAATTTATTTTTATTTTACAAAAAAATTTGTTTTAATTTCAATCTTTTATTTCTGTAGTTAATTATTCATATCACATCGAAAATTCTTACGTGATTACGTAATTGTAAATTTTTCTCATTTTAAATGAAATTCTGGAAAGATTTCTTATCGGAACTCAAATACGTGCAAGTCATTTAAAATTTCAAATTGTCAAATTTTATTGTTCTTCTCTCTCTACAGATTTTATATTTCGTTTATTTCTAGACTATGATTTAAAATACTTGAATATTTCTCGATTAGTTATTAATTATTTCTCCAATAATTATTAAAAACATAACATTTATNTTTTATTACTGTACAGGGTGAAAAGTCCCTTGCACCCTTTACATTCCAAAGCAATAATGATACAATAGGGAGTCATGCAGGGAGAATCGGATAGGTTGCCCTTCCTATGTAACTACATTAACAAAATTTATATGTTTTCAGTACATTTGAAATGAAAAGAGTACAAGGGACTTTTGGCTCATTCTGTATAAACAATTTGTAAATTTCATAAAATAATATTCTACTTTTACATAGAATTGTTTGATTTGTAAGTAAAATAAAATTGTTAAATATAAGTAAACATTTAAGATATGCAAATTATTATTTATTTATTTAATTTGGTGAGTATAAACTTCGAATAGAATACAGGTTCAGAAGCTATGACTGCCTTCAATTTCTCCTTCATAATTATTCTTGAAATAGATAATTAAGAGAAAATTTCAAGATGGAAAATCTAAAACATACAACTTGGATAAAGTCAAGGAAAATAAATTTTACTGTGTGATCAAGTATCAAGTTATGGAAAGGAAAATGTTTGGAATTATCATGCCACTACAGATAGTTTTGTGGATCTATGTTAAAATGATGCCCACTCAAATACATGGGTTTGTGTGAATCGTTAACATTGTGCACACAAATTCATATACTGAAGAGAAAAAGAAGAAAGAAACTTAATTTTGACAACTAATATAGTAGACTTATATTACTTATCAAAATTCTTTTTCTTTACGAAGGTTATAAATTTTAATGATATTTACAGCTTCAATTTTTCGATAAATTGGCTGAAATAAATATCATAAAAAATATTTTAAAATAAATATTCATTACAAATTATTTCATTGTTCTTATAATAAGTATTTGAGATAGTGAATACCACGTAAATTTATATTTATTTACTTTGTTTTAAATAAAATGTTTTATCTTTGCAGGAAGTTCAGTAGAACAAGTTAAATTAACTCTGCAGACAACACCTTCCAAAGAAGAAAAAGAAAGTGACAAAGATAGTTTAGCATCTTTGTGACAAGTAAAACAGAAATATGATAATACTACAAAGAAAAATACAGAACAATAAATTGTATATATATGAGTGAATGATCAAATTTCTAATGATTTACAAATTTGACATGCTTTTCAAGATTATGGACAAGTATACTGAAAACTTTTAGACTTTTTTCGAGACATTTGAATTATTTCAGAGCCCACGTAATGGCTCAAGATGTCAATCATTCAATAGTAACTTATAATTATCAAACGGAAAGAAGTATGTGATTTGCCAACGTTTAAAAGAAACAAGTTCAGGTAGATACAACAAAAAAACAACCTCAAAACAGTAGATTCGATCTTCTTAAAGCAATGGGGCTCGCTTTTGGAAGATTACTTCTCGGGAGATGTTTTTTTCGTTATTTTCTACCTGACTAAGTTTGTTACTAACTATAATTTATTATCGTAAGAACTGTGTTTATGATAAATCAAAGGTAATGTGTATTGTGCACAAACAATAAAAAAACGATATGATTAAATATCAAAATAAATAATAAAAATGCGAAAGTAATATTCGTAGTGTATGTATATAGTTGTAAATAATTTGTCTATCAGTTAAATAGAGAACGTAGTCATAGAAAAAAGCAGTATATCCCGCGGATAGCACACCATTGTATGTCAGTTCCACCGGCTCAAATTGCTTTATCTATGAAGTTGTAATTCTGTTGTCGAGGTGTATTGTCAAATAAGAAATATCAAAATGCATCGCGATATCAGAAATGTATAAAAAAATTGCACACTGAATAAAATATGTGAAACCTAATCTGTAGTTTATTTAGCGTAAATGATAAATTAAAATGCTTATTAATTGAGTCATTTTTAGAAAATGTATTAACAGTGAAATAGATATTATTGTGATGAAATTTTATTCATTCTACTGTTTATACTATATGCATAATATATAGCGACGGAAAGGATACTATTAGCCCATACATATATATTTATATATTACAAATTAATTTATGTACTCTGTATAAAAAGAAATTTTATTGCGAAATGTCACATACTGTCCAAATTTTCTAGATTTTTCATAGGATGCTAGAACCAGTTTACTTTTCCTCAGCTATTATAGAAAATAACATAAGTATGGTTGGTGATCAGTCACATTTTGACTGATCACCAACCATAATTTTTTTAGACTTTAAAGAAGTAAAAGCTAGGGGCTTCGTTTTTTCAGTAACACATCACACAAGGAACAGTTGTTTATGTGGCTTTTTATTAAAGGAAATGCATTTCAGATCTGAATGACCCCTCTCCAGTAGACCTTGTATTTATTTAGAAATTTTTTTAAATTTTAATAGCTTATTATACAGCTAACTGAGATAATTCAAGTTTTAACTTTTCATTTTGACTTTCAATTAATTATTCTATTGAATATTGATTATCACTTTGCAACTGATATATTGCTATTTTTCCTATTTTAAAAAGATAATTTTTACAAAAATAATCTTTGTTGTATGAAAAATTTGATATAAATCTGATATACATAGCGAGCATTTTAAAACGAAATTTTAGGAAATTTATTTTTTAATATTAAAATTAAGTAAATTTTTATTAATAAAACTTTAATTATTTTTCAGACTTAGCAGAAAGCCAAGTAAAATTTGATTCAAATGGTGATGGTTTGCCGCGTTACAGTATCTACAATTATCAAAGAAAAAATAATAGCAATCAGTTTGAATATAAATGGGTTGGAAGCTGGCTAAACGACGAACTACATATATCCTTAGAAAACGTTACTTGGAACAACGTTACAACTACAATTCCTGAATCGTTCTGTAGTGCTCCATGCGAAATAGGTCAAGTGAAAGTCGTTCAAGCGAATGATGATTGTTGCTGGATCTGCAAAGACTGTCAACCTTGGGAATGGGTAAAAGATAATCTGACATGTGAGGACTGCGGTCAAGGATTTTGGCCATATCCAGATAAAAGCGGTTGTTATCCACTTAGACAAAAATATATCAGATGGGATAGTGTATTTGCACTAGTACCCATTGGCATTTCTTGCCTTGGTGTGATTTTAACTGTTGCAGTTGTGGTTGTATTTATTATTCACAATGACACTCCCATTGTTAAAGCATCGGGTCGAGAACTTAGTTACATGCTCTTAGGAGGTATACTGATTTGTTTCATCATGACTTTTGTACTTTTAGCGAAACCTTCCGCCATCATCTGCGGTCTACAAAGATTCGGTGTTGGATTTGGTTTTTCTGTTATTTACGGTGCCCTCCTGACTAAAACCAATAGGATAGCTCGAATCTTTGATAGTGCAAGAAAATCTGCTCGAAGACCTAATTACATAACTCCCAAATCGCAAGTCATTATAACTTTGGTGCTCATATCTGTTCAAGTGTCCGCAACTATTATATGGTTTTTTATAGAACCACCAGGTACCCGTCAAGTTTCACCTAATGATAGGAGGGACGAAGTTATTCTTAAATGTAAAATTAAAGACTCAAGTTTTTTAGTCTCTCTTCTCTACAATATGGCTCTTATCACTACTTGTACTATTTATGCCGTTATTACTAGAAAAATTCCAGAAAATTTCAATGAATCCAAATTCATTGGTTTCACAATGTATACTACTTGCATCATATGGTTGGCTTTTGTACCAATATACTTCGGTACGGGAAATTCATTTGAGGTAAGTCTGTTTATTTACAAAAAATGAATTGCTAATTAATGAATATTTGTTTTTATACGAATTTTTATTATAAATACAGTGGAATCTGGTTAACTCGAATCGGTCAGGGGGAAAAATTCGGACTTCAAGTTAAAAAGTTTCGAGGAATTCAAATTAACCAGTTTGATTTAACATATTAAGCTATACGATTGGTGAAAGAAAATAATTTGAGTAAACGCAACTTTGAGTTATCCATGTTCAAGTTAATCAGGTTCCACTATACTTAATTTTTATCTTTACTTTCTCTACTTTTTGCGTGCCGTACTTAAAGGGTAGGAATTATTAAAATAAAATGCAGATTGAATACATTATTTAAATTTTATAAAATAGATTGAATGCAATTTCAATTGCGCAATTAATCTTTAATTTCGTGTTTCAAATAATTGTAAAGCTGTAGTGAATAATAGCAAGTATATATTATAATACAATCGATTTTTGAAGCAAAAATACTTTATTTTTTGCAGAAGTTATTTATTTATCATTATAACTAGAAAACAAGTTTTTCAATAAACATAAATGCATATAAATAAGAAAATATCTTTTTATTTGGATGTTTATTGAAGAAACTAAATTAATCAATTGAAATATTATGTATTTATAAAAGACCAAAAAACAAAGTAAATATTAAAGAATATTGGAATATTTAAATTTTCATTTAAAATGAAAGTTTTATATTTTATTATTTTATTCTCGAGACAATTTGTGCTTAATAACCAAGGAAAATATAAAAATATGAAATTCAAATAATAATCATCTAATTCTATGCTAAGGGGCTTGAATTTTCTAATTGTTAAAATGATTATACTTGTTCTAGACTCTAGTGCACTTAATAAAATAGTTAATATATTAAAAAACTTTTATATAATTAAAAGAAAATTAATTATGTTAAAATAATACAGAATAAATTGATATTTTAATAAAGAATTTAGCATAAAATTTATTCTACTTGAGATAATTAATTGTAAATATTAATAGAATGAGAACCTCTAAATAAGTTACTATAAATTTAAATAATAATTAAATTAGTAGTATTTATTTTCGTAATTAATTTAAAAAATTGTAATTAATATTTTAAAACTTTTTAATAATGAATGTAAAATTAAGAATTTTTACGTCTTAAAAGCAATTAAAACTTTACAAAATTAGTTCGAATAATTACAATTACATGATATTAGAGAACATTAGAGACAATGAATATTATTCAAAAAGAATCATTTCTTTTATTTATATTTTCCTTATTATAGAAACATAAGGACTATATAAAGTATTGAATTTTATTCAGTATTAATTTGAAATATTTAACATTTATATTTAAAAAAAAAATATTTAAACTATGAACGACTAATTAATTAATTAGGTTCAAAAGAAAGTCTCTAATAGTTAAATTTGTGCTACAGAAAGACAAACTGTCGTTTATAATATAGACTCAGATAAACTCTTAAATATTGTTAAGATAGTAAATATTTTAAAAATTATTTGAATATTTTCTATCTAAAATTCATATTACTTATTAAACTATAAACAAAAATTCGTATAATTTTTAATAGAACAATATATAGAATATCACATTTAATAACAGTACGTGGTATATATGCTTACACATATATAATAATACGAATTAAAAGATATAATTACTATAATATTTTTATATCTACTGTAATTATTCAAATTTTGATCCAATTAATATGATAAATTTTAAAATAAAAATTCGAGTGTAATTACAATAGTAGATAATTTGCAATTAAAAAAAATTGTTATTGAATGAATTATTAAATATCCTAATTAGCATCGTTATTTATTATTCACCATAAAATATGATTATATTTAATTTAATGCATGATGTAATTTATATTTGGTCTTAATGTTTAAAAAACTAATAATACAATCCTCGATTTAACAAATCAAGTGGGGGAGAGTGTGTACGATTGCGTTAAATCGAGGGTCTACTGTATTATTAAATTTAATTAAGAATATTTATATATTCCTAATTAATATATTAATAAATATCAATAGCTATAAAATATTCATTTTTAGCTATTTCTTAATTAAGTAATTCATTCAATTTTCGTCGTAATTAAATATATGTAAATTATTGTAAAATGCATTTAAAAGAATATAAATTTTAATTCGTTTAACAATTATAAATTATCATATAAATTATTTTCATAATACGTTAATACAACAATTGTTTATAAGTAAAATTATGTTAAATTTTTAAAACTTTAATTAAGATTTTTATTAAATTTGTTTTGAAAATTATTTAGGTAAAAAAAAATATTTAAAGATCTTATAAGAACTATTAAAAGGAAAAACGATCCTTAAAGACACTCAAGTACTACTTGTTGACATATCTATCTCACTCTAACGCAAACCACGTATTCTTTACTTAGTTTTGAGAGGATGGGATTACTTCATCTCTTTCCATTATCCTTGATTCCACTTGATATAGAAAAAATAATTTTTGAAGGTTATGAACAAAACTTTTATTGTTTATTCTGAGAACGGAGCTAAATTTTTCATTAGATAATTTAGATTTTAAGAATAAATCTTGTTAGAAAAGTATTGGGTTATTAAATTGGATTATAACATTGTTTATTGGATTATACTGAATTTAACGTAATATTTTCTGTAAAATAACGGATTTATATTTATGTTCAAACTGCTAAAATGTGATAATATTTGTTTTCGATGGCATTTTGTTTAATAAATAGTAAATACAAAAACAAAACAATTAAAAATTAAAATTTTATTCGAGGTAATAAAAGTAAATATTTACCATTTTAAGAAAATTTATTAAACATAAAATTTAATATATTTATAGGAAATATATTACTTTTTATAAAATCATAAATATTATGGTAAGTAATTGATTTTCTCTACTCTAGAAGTGTCATTTAGGCAAGTAACTTATAAATAAGTAAGTATTTACAGAATGTAATCGGATTATCAGAACATAAGACAGAAAGTAGAATAAATTACTCATAAAATTTTAATATTTTTACACGCATAAATTATAATATAGTTAATTAACATCTTCATTTATATATTGCTTCATTTAGACGGTAAATAAATATATTTTAGCATTCTTTATATTTAGCATGAATATAAATATGAGATGTGTTAAAATTCTCCAGATTTATACATAAATATAAATTATAGTAAGTTTATTGTAAAAGAAGTTTATTTGTGATATTTTGAAGAATTAAAAAAATATCAAACAAAAAATACAAGAAAATTAATAAAGCTAAAATATTGCTTTAAAGTTACATAAAATTTAAAATTTATATTCTAAGTAATTTAAAAAAATATATGTTTAAACACAAAGTTTTAAGCATGTTCTATTAGATATTCTTTAATAACATCAATAGATAATAGTTTTTAATTACTATTAACTTTTAAATGGAGATCATAAACACTTTTGACCTTATTTTTAATTTACTAATATTCACACGAAATAAAAGGTTGTAAAAAATATATTTTATTGACCGCTTGTTTTATGGTATTATCGTAATTTACTGTATTTTATGGTATATAAGACGTGACGTAACTTTTGTCAAAAAAACGAAAAAAATCGCCGTCTTATATGAGAAGTTGCAATATAATATAGCCAAATGACTTCCCCAAATGATCTTCATTAGCCTACACGTAATTTCTACCTAGATGTTATTGCTTAATTAAACATATTATTGTAATTATTATTATTATTATTACTGATTTTAATTATTTATAAACGGAATTATTGTAAATATCAAAGTTAGTTAACGTGAGACAACTACTTTTCGATCAATCGTTCGTCCAACATAAAAGTATATAAGCTTTTTTAAAGCCGAATACAATGAAAAGAATTTGGGGCAGCGTGCTAAAAGCGTGGAATTGTTTAAATATACAAAATACTTTTCTCTTAAATATCCATTGATGAAATTGGATATTATATGCCATAAAACACAGTATACAAAAATGAAAAATTCATAGACCTACTTAATTTTATCAGTTCTTGTATAATTTATATCTATTTTAATGTACTCATTATTATTTATAAATTTTAATATATTTTTTCTCTTGTTTTTTTTAGATACAAATAACGACTTTGTGTGTATCCATCTCGTTAAGTGCGTACGTGGCTCTGTTTTGTCTTTTTTCACCTAAAATATACATCATTATTTTTCATCCCGATAAAAACGTAAGAAAATTAACAATGAACAGTGCTACTTACAAAAAAGCGCCAACAAGTAGCACTTGTGGTACTTCTGCTAATCATGGTAAGTTAAAGAAAGTCCTTTTGATAGAATTAAATTGTAAGTATAGGCAAACAATACGTTTTACATGGACGCCATCTGTTGCATCAAAAGAATATTAAATATTATTTTCCTATTTATTTTATGTGATAAATTATTTTTATTCGAACAATTTAGAGCATCATATTCAATTTATTAATATATTAAAATATTACTATAATATAAAATTATTCTTATATAATATATATATTTTTAATTGTAAATTTTTTACTAGTTACATATAGTTAATTAAAAAAAAATAAGTTTATTTCACACGTTATTGCTTTTATATATCTATCTATAATAATATTGTATAGTTTTGGGAAAAATCGATATGTGAAAGGAAACATAACAAATTGCACAGAAGAAGACAAAATATAAACGGAAATTACAACGAAGTAGGATTAGCAATATGTCTGTAACCATATCTAGGAAAGAATAACTCAGTTTTCTGTCAAATTTCCATTTATAAACCATATAATTCGTAGACTAAATGAAAGTAACAACAAAAATAATACAGTACTTAGGATAAGAAATGCATTCATTTGTGCCAATATATTTATAAAAAT